GGCAGGGTTTAAAAAAACGACCGTATTTTTGAAAATTTACCGTAAAAAACGGTACCGTAAAAAACGACCGTTTTAAACGGTTTAAAACGGTTCCAGGAGGTGTTTTCAGTTTAACTAACAAATCGGCCACTTTATGGGACCAAATTGAACCCGAATTTCATCAGGATGAAGGGGACGGGCCCCTTCTTGCATGTGTGCGCTTGTTGGCGTGTTTGAAAATGTGTATGGCCTTGTTTTTCCCTTTTTTTTCTTAGTGACCAGAGTTATGTAACAAAAAAACGGCCGTATTTTTGAAAAATCGCCGTAAAATAGGACCGTAAAAAACGGACCGTATTTTACGAAAAACCGTATTTTTTAGCATTGGCAGGAGGTTTTGTGGCTCCTCAGATTTGAAGGTAGGGGCAGGAAAAGGGTTGCGTGCTTAGAGCCGACTCAAATCTCCCCTTTTAAACTCTCCCTCCCCCTTTTCCCAACCCAACCCCAACCCCAACCCCAACCCCCCCTTCTGCACCCTCTACTACATGTGTCATACCTACACCACCGTCTGTGGCACGGGCCTTGCGCTTCTGGCCTAGTCCAATTCCCCTAATCCCTCCCCCTCTCCCTCCCCTCCCCCTCTCCCTCCCCCTCTCCCTCCCCCTCCCCTCTCCCCAACTCTTCCCCAACCCCAACCACCCACCGCCGCCCTAGTCTTCTCAGGGATCCTGAGTTTGCACGCACTACTGCGGCTAGCACACCTGCGCCGACATGTCGGGCAAGGGCTTTGCTGTTTCCCCCCTTCCCCATCCCTCAAACTCAACCCCAACCTACTCTCTCCAGTCACTCTTCTGCACGCACTACTGCACGCATTACTGCGTCGGGATCCAGGTTCTGCAGACCTTTGGGTCGACTTTTGAGTCGACTTTTGAGTCGACTCAAAAGTCTCTCTCCAGTCACTCTTCTGCACGCACTACTGCAGCAGTGCGTCGGGATCCGGGTTCCGGGTTCTGCACGAGGTGACTTTTGAGTCGACTCAAAAGTTTCTTCTACATGCACTACTGCACGCATTACTGCGTCGGGATCCGGGTTCTGCTCTGCACGAGGTGACTTTTGAGTCGACTCAAAAGTCTCTTCTGCACGCACTACTGCGGCGGGCACACTGACTTCTCTGGCAAGGGCCCTGCTGTTTGAGTTGGCTCATTCCCCCCGTCTTCACCCCCCAACCCAACCCCCCAACTGCCTCTCAATCCCAGACGACGCAGGGAACCGCGTTCTGCTCGGACTATTGTGGCTGGCACACCTACTTGAACGTCTCGGGCAAGGGTCTTTTGGGGCCGACTCAACTCCCCCCTCCCCATTTCCCAACCCCAACCCCAACCCCATCCCCAACCTCCCTCATCTCTTATCCCAGACGACGCAGGGAACCGCGTTCTGCTCGGACTACTGCGGCTGGCACACCTACACGGACGTCCCGGACACGGGTCGTGTGGTCAGCAGCTGGGTGGGCAATGCCAGCTCCCAGGTGGGTGACACCTGGCATGGCCCACGTGGCATGGCCCACGTGGCAAGGGCTACGTGGCATGGCCCACGTGGCAAGGTTTACCTCGCAAGGTCCATGTGACAAGGGCCATGTGGTCAGCAGCTGGGTGGGCAACGCCAACTCCCAGGTGGGTGAGAGGCCATTGGCTGTCAGAGTGAGTGAATTCCTGGTGGTATGTTGAGTTTGGGAGTGTGTAAAACTGTTTCCATTGCCTCTTATCGCTGGCATTCAAGTTGGTGTTACTTTTGAGAACTCTCAATAGTAACACCAGCATAGTTTCCATTGCCCGCCTCATCTCAAACTCCTCCGCCTCGCCCAACCAGGACCAGGGCATGGATTATTTTTTAGGCGCCTCAAAAATCTTCTCAATAGTAACACCAGCATTGCTGTTTCCATTGCCCGCCTCATTTCAAACTCCTCCGCCGCGCCCAAACAGGACCAGGGCATGGATGGGCAGCTGTCCGTGTATGGACATATGTAACCCCGGTTCCTCCCTGCCACCTTCCGCCCACCCACAGTGCCCTGAGATCTGCGTCACCACCCTCATCTCAAACTCCTCTTCCTCGCCCAACCGGGACAAGGGCATGGATGGGCTGCTGTCCGTATATGCACTGTGCACATACATACACACACCCGGTTCCGCAACCCCCCCCCCCCCCCACGCGCAGTGCCCTGAGATCTGCGTCACCACCCTCATCTCAAACTCCTCTTCCTCGCCCAACCAGGATCAGGGCATGGATGGGCTGCTGTCCGTGTATGCACATATGCAACCCCGGTTCCTCCCTCCCTGCCACCCTCCCCCCACTCACAGTGCCCTGAGATCTGCGTCACCAGCCTCATTTCAAACTCCTCTTCCTCGCCCAACCGGGACAAGGGCAGGGCGGCGAGCAGTCCGTACCCGCAGACGTGGATGGACAGCAATGGGGACGAGAACGCGGATAAATGCAGTTGGGAGTGAGTAATTCTTGCTTTCTCAGGCTTTGCTACTCTTTTGCCACTCTTTCCCGTTTCCTTTCGTGCCAAAACCTGCTCGTCCCCAACCTTTTATCCCTTCATGTCATACTCCTACCATTAGGTATGGCACCATTCAGCTTGATTCCTCGGGAGCTCCGTACAACCTAGTTGGTGCCGACGGTTACAAGTTCTCGATTCAGCAAAACTGGGACCTGACAAAAGGTAGGTGTGTGACCACCGTGCCTTACCCAGGCTCGTCGCCACCATTGAAAAAACCACCACCAACGCCACCACCATCGTCAAATGGTTCAGCTCTTAGTTTACTCTTGCAACTTCTGCGGAGGCTGTTTTTTGGCTCTGGTAAACAAAATCTGCAAGCTCAACCACCACCAACACCACCACCTTGAAACTGTATTGAAATCGTGTTGATTAATTGTATTTGTAGTATTTATTCTAGTGTATATCCGCTGTGAAGTTGGTGAATGCCCAACATTTGCCAAGTCGCGAAGCGATTGACGGTGGTTGGTTGAATATTGCAAAGCGCGAGGAGAAACACCCTCGAAAACTCGAAATTGAGGGTTTGCTAGAAATTTAGGGCAAGTTTGAATGGATGGCCGTGGAATGGAAATGCGGTCCACTTTCAAGGCCAGATGAATGCCAGGAAAATGAACACACATATCCCCAAAATATTGACGGGTATTTGCAAAGGCTTGAGAACTGAACACCTGAACAGCCCTGCAAAGTCACCTGATGGGCTTGTTGTCGTGGCCTACATCCACTGACTCGCCACACCACACCACACCACTCCACACAACACCTCCCCACTGCCAATTCCCCCGCTGTCACAAAATCTCAAAATTGTTCACTCGTCTCGCCTCGTCTCTGCTTGCTTGGTAATGCTAGGCGGGAGACTAAGCCGGGAGAGTGAACGCCATAAACGCGCGCTGCGATTGTTCTTCCGCTAGATATGTTTTGCTAGCAAGTCTGTTTCTACCAGGAACAGAGCAGGAGGCGAACGGGACGCAGAAAATAGTTATTAGTAACAGGGAAATGCCGCTCCCTTCTTGTCGCCGCATCCAGCGCTTCCGTACGAGCCGCAACGGCTACTTCGGAGGCGACCTTGCGCGGTTTTCGGGGCTCCTAGTCGCGCTCCTTCAGCTTACCGCCATCTCCGTCGTCGAATCATCACCACGAGCGCCCTTTGCGGTATAGACCTAAGCTTTGCAGGTCGAACGCCCTTTACATTAGTGCTCTCGTGTTTTGATTTGTGTTTTGAGTCGACTCAAAACAAGAACGCCCTTAACATTAGTGATCTCGGTCTTTTCGTTTCGGTCTTTACATTAGTGACCGCCGTTCGCGGTCTTTTCGTTGCGAGGCGCCTCGGCGCGTGGAGCCAAATGCTCCTAAACAGTTTCCTAGTCTTTTAAAGCTCGCGTCTCATATTTCTGCCATCCAACCAAGTGTTAAACGGTTGGAATCCGGTAACAGCACACCAAGTTTATCGCACAGCACACCAAGGCAAGGGGTGGTTGGTAAGGTTGGTTGGGAAATCGCGTCGCACACTTCCCCGCGAACACCAAGCATTTACAATCTCGGAAATTTGAGACTGTGAACTCTCAACTCTGACAGAAAGCGGGGCCAAACCTGTCCCCCAAGGCTCGACTTCCACCCAAACCTGCACACCCTGGTTTGTTTTGGCCAAACCTGTTTGGGAGTTCGCTGTGTTTTTTCCACCCGCTCGTCACATATTTCGTCATTCGTTACCCAATCAAGTAGGGGCAAACCCAACCAAGTGTTTAACGGTAGGAAATTTGAGACGCGAGCCGGAGATTCCCTCGTTCTTCTTTCCCTTCACCGCTACCTCCCTCTCTCCTCCTTTCCTCACCCCTCACCCCCTCGCCTTACCAGCGCAACCCCCCCATCAGATACACCTTCGCCAGAAGAGACGTCCTCTCACAGGCAGATGAAACCTCCACCAGCAGAAGCACGGATTCGAGCCGAAGGAGGGGGCTCCACGACGAGTCTTCCACGACCGTCCGTCCCTTGGGAATCGCGCGCGTGTATAATGCAAGGTGGTGTACTGTACTGTTCTGTATCGTACTTTGTTGTACTTTCCCTACACTGTTCTGTGTTGTCGACGTAACGTAACCGTACTGCTACTCTCATTGGGCAACACTTGTCCGTCTGACGTGGGATTCATCTCTTTTGTTCCCTTTCTTTCTCTTCCTTGCATTCATTGGGCAACACCAACAACAGCTTCTTTTGTCCCTCTGGCATGGGCAACACCAAGCACCTTCTGATTACTATGCCCCCCCCTCCGTGTCCGTTTGCTCCCTATCTCTCTAATACTGGCTGCAGCCACGAAACAGCTGCAGCAGCAACGACAGCAACAGCAACAGCAACAACAGCATCAGCAGAACCAGCAGGCGATTCCGCAGCAGCATCTAGCAGCAGTAGCAGCAGCACGAACCTCCCGTTCACGCCTCGGGGAATAGATTACCACTGGGACGACCTCGATCCCGATCAGATGGCCTTCTGTGCCGCCTCGCCCGCGCATTGCAGCGTGATGCACGCGCCTGTGGGGGTGTACCTGCTGTGGTACGGGGCCAAGTTTACCGAGGAGCAGAAGGACATCGTCCGGTTGTTTGTCGCTTCTCTCAATGCAGACGCTTCCGATCCGGCTGCTACAGGTGGGTGGGTGGGTGGGTGGGTGGGTGGGCTGGAGCGTGTTGAGTGTTTCAGTAGTGACGGATGCAAGTGCTTGTCGAGGTGCGCCTGTGGGGGGGGTGTACCTGCTGTGGTACGGGGCTGAGTTCAGCGAGCAGCAGAAGGACGTCGTACGCTTGTTCCTCGCTTCCCTCACTGCAGAAACAACCGATTCAGCCGCCACAGGTGGGCGGTTCGTGTCGTGCGGAGTGTGTTGAGTGTTTCAACAGCGAGGGATCCGTGCGCCTGTGGGGGGGTGTACCTGCTGTGGTACGGGGCTGAGTTCAGCGAGCAGCAGAAGGACGTCGTACGCTTGTTCCTCGCTTCCCTCACTGCAGAAACAACCGATTCAGCCGCCACAGGTGGGCGGTTCGTGTCGTGCGGAGTGTGTTGAGTGTTTCAACAGCGAGGGATCCGTGCGCCTGTGGGGGGGTGTACCTGCTGTGGTACGGGGCTGAGTTCAGCGAGCAGCAGAAGGACGTCGTACGCTTGTTCCTCGCTTCCCTCACTGCAGAAACAACCGATTCAGCCGCCACAGGTGGGCGGTTCGTGTCGTGCGGAGTGTGTTGAGTGTTTCAACAGCGAGGGATCCGTGCGCCTGTGGGGGGGTGTACCTGCTGTGGTACGGGGCTGAGTTCAGCGAGCAGCAGAAGGACGTCGTACGCTTGTTCCTCGCTTCCCTCACTGCTCAAGCCTCCGACCCAGACGCCACACATGGGTGGCTCGGCTGGGGGGTTCAGGGCTGCAAAACCCTTTCTCTGAAGCCCCTCTTTCTCCCTCCGATTCCTCTCAAATTGTTCCTCCTCCTGCGCGAATCCCATTACCCCCACAATTTCCCTCTACAGTACCCGTGTGGTGGGCTATCAACTCACTCTCCTTTGACCACCACATATGCAGCACGGTTCTTGGAGACCACTCTTCCTCTTTCAGACCCCTCTCACATCATTCCCCCTCCCCTTGATGCGCACGACCCCCACCACTCCCACCACCCCTTCTGCCTGGTTCAAATGGTTCTCCCCCTCTCAACCCCTCTCAACCCCTCTCAACCCCTCTCAACCCCTCTCTACCCCACTCTACAGTTCCGGCATGGTGGGCAATCAACACGCTCTACTTCGACCAGCAGGGCCGCAACATCTCCTCGAATGTGACTATAAAGGGCGAGACTCACGACACCAAATACACCCGAGGCACCATGCTGCTGCGCTCTGACGTGGCGGGGCTCGTCCAATCAGCCGTCGGGAGCGGGTCGCTGCCGTACGACCCGGACGGCGTGTATTTCGTCCTTTCCGATGAAGACGTCTCGCAGATGGACGATCCGAGCAGGACCGGGGGTACGCAGTATGCTCTGGCGTTCTGCTCGCACTACTGCGGATGGCACTCCTTCACTCAAGGGCTGGACGGGCAATCACTGATAATCTCGTTCGTCGGAAATGCGGTTAATCAGGTGAGAACCCATTTTATATGACTTGGGCTACACAGAGGTAGCAATGGCGTTCTCCTCGCACTACTGCGGATGGCATTCTTTCACTCAAGGCCAGGACGGGCAACCGCTTATCATATCGTTCGTCGGAAACGCAGTCAATCAGGTACACACTGTCTCGTTTACACACTGCCCAACCCCAACACGAATCCATTCATAAATATTGGTTACCCCAACAGTGTTTTTTCAAACCATCGAGGAACAGTGCATGACACCTGCATATCATTGTACCTCAATCATGGTGCATAGCGTCTCAAAATCAAGACTTCCTTTCAACCATCCCCATGCAGTGCCCGGAGGGCGGCATCCCGCCGTACCTGAAGCAGCCCGGAGCACCAGCACCGAACCATCCCATCGTATCTCATAACTACTACCCCCTATCACTATCCCCGTGCAGTGCCCCGAAGGCTGCATCCCGCCGTACCTGAACCAGCCCGGAGCACCGGCACCGAACAACCGCATCCCACTGTTTCTCGAAACCACTCCCCTCCCAAACCATCCCCATCCCCACGCAGTGCCCGGAGGGCTGCATTCCGCTGTACCTGAACCAGCCGGGGGCGGTGGCGCCGAACCACTGCATCCCACTGTATCTCGAAACCACTCCCCCCCCCCCCCCCCCTCTCCCCACAAAAACCATCCCCATCCCCACGCAGTGCCCGGAGGGCTGCATCCCGCCGTACCTGAACCAGCCCGGGGCGGTGGCACCGAGCGGCGACGCGGGGATGGACGGGATGGTGTCGGTGTTGGCGCATGAACTCGCAGAGGCCACCAGCAGCCCCTTCCTCGCCACGTGGTTCGACGACCAGGGCGAGGAGAACGCCGACATCTGCTCCTCGAGGTTAGGTTGTTTCTTCTTGTTCTTCTTTTCATTCTTTCGTATGCTTATAACTGCAGGTGTAGACAATGCCAATATCTGGATGGTGAAGGCTGGAGATTTGTACAAGAAAGAAGAGGTAGCTAATTCTCCTAAATTTTACTTTCTCCCTTATTTGCTAATATCTGCTTATGTTTTTTTTTTCCTATGCCAATATCTGCTTATGTTCCATAAATTATTTTCTTCCTTATTTTCATCCCTTATCGCAGTTATGGTGACGTGATCTCAGATGCAGCCACTGGTGTGCAATACAACATGGTGGGCCAGAACGGGGCACGATTCCTTGTGCAAGCAAACTTAGACCCACGAGCTGGGAGATGTGTAATTTCACCTGTTGCCATCAATTCCCCCAGCGTGGATAATCCCACCATTGTGGACCCCCCTCCAAGCGTGGATGTGCCGGCTGAGGAGCCACCTCCACCATCACCGTCATTCCTAGATAAACTTATAGAGTTTATCACTCACTTTTTTGGCTTTTGATAGTTCACCTTGCTGGACTATACTGGAAGTCGGGCATATTTCTAAGATACACCGCTCGTTTGAACCATACCGTACCCCTCTTTGTTGTCACGAGGTCACCGACGTAGGTTTTTTCTAGGGGATACAGTACCGAGTCTAGCTAGTCAAGGCACCGCCGAACTCGTCGCACCATCGCACTGCCATAGAAAACGACAATTGCGGCAGCCAATATGGACAACCTCATAAAGTTCACCGCGTCACGATGATCCGGATCGCGCTTCCTGGAAAGCGAGACACATGCGACTCGCCGACATGATGTGCACCGAAAGGATGCTCGCATGAAATCGCCCACGCTCTCAGTAACCAGGATGTGCAGGGGGTTCACAGAGGAACTCGTGATTTCGCAAACCGTTCGTTCCTCGCTGTCGCCCACTTATATATTCGCACCCATGATTCATTTCCAACCAGAAGCCACAAGCATAGCCTTTCTTTGACATTGCCTCCACATCCTCTCCCACACGGCATCAGAGTCAAGCACTAGATTCGTCCAACTCTCATCAGTGCTTGAGCAGGTTCAGCGCGTTCCAATCGACAAATCCCCAATAAACTTCTGACTCATTCGTAGTGTTCCTGCAAGCCATCACTAGCATTGAAATATCGTCGGCACACGACGATGTCTCGTTCTCGACTTAGCTCGTTCTCTCCAGCCCTCCCATTTTTTTTCCTCGCCCTTTGGGCCTCGTTCCTCGATGTATCGTCCGCAAGCGATCTGTTTCCATCCATCCCGGAAAGCCGCACCAATGTAAGTTCTGGTTGTGATTAGTTCCCGAATATGCCTTCAAATCCGTTGCAAAATTTGCTCATTTGTGGGTTCAGCAATCGTGGACTCACATACATCCGGGCGTCGCGCGAGATACTGCATCTTAAGATCAATGCGCCACATTCTCATGCCTCATTTTCTTCCCACCTCCCGTCTCTCCAGCAATGGAGCCGCGCGATGCGTCGGAGAGTATCCAGGTTCTCGTCACACGCCATCCGCGGCTCTCGCATCAGCAGACGCGGTTGGCGGCTCAAAACTCACGTATTCTCGCACTTCCCGATATTCCCTCTCTCCAGGAATGGAGCGCGATGCGTCGGACATCCAGAATATCGTACACGCCCATTCGCGGCTCTCGAATCAGCAGGCGCAGTCTCACGGAGGTCGCGTCTTCAGGAGGAATCAGAAGCGGCGGGGAGAGCATGCGGCAAGCGAAGCTTCCGCATGGAGTCAGAGTTCTCATCGATAACAGGTACGGCGAACTCATTTGTTCTAAAACAGGGCACATCAGTAATAAAAACTCATTTTTTTGTGCGACCCCCGTGATCCTAAACTCTGTTCCGTGATAGTACAAATTGCTTGCATGGTGGAACGTCCGCCGAACGCAAGTATGCAAGTTCTGGCGCATCATGTTGCGTTATCTTCTCATTATCCCCTTGTTCTGTCCGTACGCCCTTCCCCTGCAAAACAGCGCCCAATTCGGTGCATCCACAACGAATCCCGCACCAAAGAACATCGGCTACCACTGGGACGATCCCAGCGCAGCCTACATGTGCTCCGCAAACGCCAAGTACTGCGGAGTCATGCACGAGCCCATCGCGGTGTACCTCGTGTGGTACGGCGTGTTCACGGAAGCGCAGAAGCAGATCATGCGCACGTTTATCGAGTCGCTCAATGACAACAACGACACCTCTCTGACTGGTAATGCCCTCCACCAGATTTCCACCCTTCCTCCCCTGTGAGGCATCATTTGCGTGGCATCAAATCCAACACACACTCTCCCCTCGCAGCATCCCTTACCATGATGTGACGTATTTATTCTCTCGCTGACCTTTGCCTCTGCTTCCCCGTAAACCCTGTCGACTTTCTTCCTCCTTGTCCCCTATATTCCCTTTCCTCCTGCCAGTTCCCAAGTGGTGGAACATCAACCGGCTCTATTACGACGCCCAAGGGAACTACATTTCCGGATCTGTCACTCTCAAGGGCGAAATCGACGACACACTCTACTCCAAAGGCACCACTCTGTACAACTCTGGCGTAGCCGACCTCGTTTCTTCCGCTGTGAACGAGGGGAAATTGCCCAACGACAGCAACGGAGTGTACTTCGTTCTTGGGGATTCCAAAGTGGCCCAGGAGGATGATTCAAGTTACTCTCAGTCAGGATTTTGCAGCAGCTACTGCGGCTGGCACGCGTACACCCACGACAACCTCGAGCTCGTCATTTCCTTTGTCGGTAACGCAGTAACCAGGTGCCCGGAGGGCTGCATCCCACCGTACCTGAACCAGCCCGGGGCAGTGGCGCCGAACGGCGACGCGGGGATGGACGGGATGGTGTCGGTGTTGGCGCATGAACTCGCAGAGGCCACCAGCAGCCCCTTCCTCGCCACGTGGTTCGACGACCAGGGCGAGGAGAACGCTGACATATGCGCAGGGGAGTACGGAGATGTAACCCAGGATGCAACCACAGGAGCATACTTCAACCTAGAGGGTCTTCGGGGATCAAAGTTCATCGTGCAGGCGAATCTCGACCCGGTTACCGGCCGCTGCGTAGTGCTGTCTGATGGGCCTGAGGCTCTAGGAAGTCCGAGCCAACCTCCCTCTTCAGCTGGTCCTACTCCCAGTCCACCGCCTGTTTCAGAGCCACCTGTCACTGTTCCAACTCCCCCTGTTACCGTTCCTACGCCTCCTGAAACCGTTCCAGAGCCACCCACCGTTGCTACACCCGAGCCACCAGTAACTGGAACGCCCTCAGGAGGGAGTACCTGGGATGCACTTGTTTCCTTCTTCAGTAGTTTGTTTGGTTTCTAATTATGTATGAACTATACAGCGATACCACCCTAGAATGTGTTGCAACGCACAGATGTGTTCGGTTTCAAAGGACCTCGGCTCTGATGCAACTCATAATTGGTGTAACTGATACTTATTAAATTGCATGGCCTGTATGGGTGATTGTTTTACAGAAAGTATGAGGCTTTTATTAAACCTCATATACCATCTCTGTATAGTGTCTGCCAACAGCGGATCTTGGACAAAGTTCGCGGAGCTGTTGATGATGTACATTTGCAGTTTGGACTGCGCTTGTTTCTATAACCGCCATGCGAAACACTTTGCAGCACCAGAATAATTCACACGACAGCGTGCGGGCAGAGTTCAGGTGAGCGAATGTTGACCGGAGCGGGCAGACCTTGACCTAGCCTAACCGAATGTTGTGCGGCAGGCACGGCACTCCCACGAAGGAACCGAATTTACGTTCTAGCTCATCCCCTTTACAGAGTTGTTTTTACGTTTAATTCTGGACAACCCGGATAATTGAGTTCCAGTCCTGTCGGAATTTGGTTCCAACTGGGACCGATTTCCAAAAACACTCTGGATAGTGTTTCCACCGTAAACTTCAGCACTTACAGAACCCGTCTTTCTCTGAAGTTTGACCCGTTAGAAAGGCAGCCATGCTCAAACACTGACTGGAGAATGGAGGAGAAGTCAAGGCGTTTATTAATGAGAAGTGGTGTCGTTCTGTGTAGTGTGAAAATCAAGTGGGCCTAGTCCTTTCCAGCTGCTGATGTTTGTAGCGTGGGGATCCGTGATAAGTCGATCGACATTCAATTTCGTAGTGCAAGTTCTCAATCTTGTGCAAATCCGGTACAATTGGAACGGGTTTCTTATCCGTGGAAAGTCGACTACTGCCCGTGAACTCCGTCAACAAATAACAACTTAAAGACGACAAATTTCGGCAAGCAACAAACAATGAGCGACTCGACGTGACCGCAGGTGAAAGATCGGTGTGTGACCTACGAGACGTGGGAGAACCGCGCCTAGGGCCACCGTCCAGTCGACAATCCACGCCATCCCCATCTGATCTGACCAACAACTTTCTGACCGCCTAAAAAGTACAACATGGGGATCGTTTGAGTTGTGCTGCGCCTGCCCAAGGCCGATTCAAACGTTTTCACAAAAAGGCTTCTGCTGCCCACCGCTGGCGCCTTCTGGCAGGGTTGCACTGTGTCAGCTTTGGAGATTTGAAACTTTGCCAGCTGTTCCCATCAGTTTGCGCTGCATTGCGACGTGCGCTTTTTGCGCCCTGAAATCGAATTGGTCGCGCAATGTTTGGACTCTCGGCCCTACTCACAAGCGCCTCTGCGCCTCCGCGTTTTAGGTTCCCTGTGCGTCACTTAGCGAGCGACTCACCACCACCATCACCACCTGGCACCGATTATCGAGAACCATCTCCGTTTTCCTCTCGGCACCAATTGTGGGCCAATACAAGTCAGTAAACCACACCCAGCACAGCAGAGCACAATCCGCACCAGGCATTTCCCCATGCGAAGCGAACGTGACCTGAACAACCAAGCACCCATTCGTGCCACTTTAGTCGGCGCAGCCACGTCACCGTTCTTTGTGTGGCCCCTACCGTCGCGCCTCGTGTGAATCACTCCGTTGCGATAGCTCCTTCTCAATACTAAAAGCCGAGCTACCAAACTCATACACTGCTCAGCACCACGATCCCCGAGGTCGAGTCTTGGTCGAGTCCACCTTGTAGTTTGCGAGAGTGTTGCTTGTAGTGTCCGAAAGCGTAACCCCAGCTTCATACTCCAGAGTCCAGTTCAGGTCCCATGGCAATTAAAAGTATCACCCAGCCGTCGTTCCATATACGAGCCATCGTCGCACTCCTCCTCTTCGCCGCACTCTCCACCATCGCCTGCGCGCGATCCCACAGACGACTCCTCGTAAGTCGTCGCCATTGTCGCACAGACTCGCCTCGCCCCGCCCTGCGTTTTTCGATGCCCCCAGAAAGAAATACCTGGCCGTGCTTCAGACGCTCTCTCATTATTCACCTCAGTTAGCAAGATTTTAAATTGGTGCCACTTTCGGGGCATAGTTGGTTCGCGTATTAGTCGTAATCACAGCACAGCGACCCGTTGAGGCTACTCTGTCCTCCTATTCCCCACCCTCCCTTCCTCCCCCCCACCCCCTCTCTTCCCCCCATATGACTATCCTGTTCACCCCCTTCCCCACGACCCTGTGGCCTAACCTCTCCTCTTCCCTCGTCTCTCCCCTTCTTCTCCGCGCGCAGAAATGGCGCAAGCGCACAGACGATGACCTTCTGATGCGCGGCGCGATGCCGGAAGGAATCGCGCAAGTCGTCGACACGAGGTGAGCGGTGCCGCGCCATTTCCACCATTCGGGGAAATGCATTTCGCCCCAGATATCAGCACCTCAGCCTCGTTCTCAATTGTTTCCCACGTTCGCTTCTCCCATCTCACCCATCTCTTCCTTCTCCACCCTATCCTCTGTCTCTCCTCCCGCCTCTGCTTTCACAACAACAGCGAACCCGTCACCTCATCTTCCGCTGCTGTAAACTCCGCGGCTCCTTCCGCCCCAGCCGCTTCTTCCGCCTCCGCCGTGTCTTCCGCCCCCGCCCCTTCCCCCGAGGCTGTGAGCCAGATGATCGCCTCAGCGCTCCGCGCACCTTCCTCCTCCGCCTCGATCTTTCCGCCGCGCCACTCACCCGCCTTCCACAACATCGACCCGCATTGGGATGATCCCGAGGTTTCCAGCGTGTGCAACCCCGTTACAAAATACTGCGGCGTTATGTACAAGCCCATTTCGGTGTACCTTTTGTGGTACGGCAAGTTCACAGAAGCGCAGAAGCAGATCATCCGCACGTTTATCGAGTCACTCAATAACAGCAACGACACCGACGCTACAGTCACCAACTGGTGGAACGTCAACCGTCTATACTACGACGCAATGGGCAACCATATCTCCGCATATGTGACTCTAAAGGGGGAAATCGACGACGCGGATTACTCCAAGGGCCGCACTCTGCTGAGCTCCGACGTGGCGAAACTCGTCTCGTCCGCGGTTACCAGCAAGCAGTTCGCGAACGACCCGAACGGCGTGTACTTCGTCATGGGAGACGAAACGGTGGCGCAACAGGACGATACAGCTCCCGAGAAATCCGCGTTCTGCAGAAACTACTGCGGGTGGCACTTCTACACGCGCGATGCTCTTGAACTCCCCATCGCATTCGTTGGCAATGCCGCCACCAGGGTAAGTCGCAGTGAGCCTCATTTGACCGATGCAACCGCACACAACCGTTCCTGGCCTTATCGTGCTCCGTAGCAGGTCCTGATCGTGTTGGGCTTGAGGTCCATGACTTTCTCCTTACCCACCGCTCACTCTCTCCTTCTCTATCTTTTTTTCTCCCCACCTTTCTCCTTCCTCCCAGTGTCCCAAGCGCTGCATCCCTCCCCATCTCAACCGCCCAGGGGCGGTGGCGCCGAACGGGGACGCGGGGATGGACGGGATGGTGTCGGTGTTGGCGCATGAACTCGCAGAGGCCACCAGCAGCCCCTTCCTCGCCACGTGGTTCGACGACCAGGGCGAGGAGAACGCCGACATCTGCTCGCACGAGTATGGGGATGTTAAGAAGGACGGGGTTACCGGCGCGGTGTATAATCTCGTTGGCGTGCGCGGGTCGAGGTTTTTAGTGCAAGCGAATCTGGACCCTGTACGGGGGGCGTGCTCGATTGAGGCGGACGGGCCCGGGGCAGATGTTTTGACGAGTCAAGCGGGGTGGTTGTGAGAGGAGACAGGATGAGACGTGGAGCAGCGAGGGTGGTGTAAAGGAGTTTTTTCGCCCTTTTTGGGTGAAGGGAGAGCGAGTGGGTGGTGTGAGTGAGGGTGGTCTCTCCGCTGCTGCTGTTGCCACTGCTGATCTGGTATGGTGGCGGCGCTACTGCTGCTGCTGCTACTGCTGGTACTGGTGGTGCAGCAGCTTTGGGTGCTTCTACTGCTTGCCAGGAGGCCTGTGTCTGATGCTATTTGTGGCAGTGGGTGGTCAAGGAAGCATCTCCACATCAGCAAGAAGCACAACACATGATTCGCCAACAAGCTCGCCAGTTCATGACCGTCAGATGCACTCCAAGATGACTCTGCGCAACTCGGGACCGTTGATCGGGACACGGCAGCTTTATCACTTCCCTCCCTCCCTGCAACTCCTTCAAACCCCCCTCCACTGCTCCCTCGATTGGTGCGCTACCCTTCTCCGGTATCTGCAGTTAATGCAGTGCGGCTATGCAGTAGAAGCAGCTCCTGTTACAGGTTACAATATTAGGCGGTACAAGGTCTCTGGGGAGGCCTTGGGTGAAGAGTCATGAGATAAGATGGGCTGGTCTGGTAGGGGACCTAACCCGAGACCTTTTACCGCCTCATATATGGGACATGTTGAAGAAAAAGGTTGTATAATTTTACCTAAGAAATAGGTTGATAGGGGAGATTATATGAGAGATTATGTTTTTGTTTATCAATCCATCAAAAGATTAAGGAGGCTGCATATCTGAATATGTTTGATTTCTGGTGGTGAGAAGTGCTTAAGTGAATTCTGGTGGTTTGTTTCGAATCAATTTGGTGTAACTCTGTCGAATTGACTTCTCGAGTCCACAAACGATCTCTTGTTATCGGAGCACCAGATTCTTGGAAAATGATCCCAAGCCTCCCCTCCCCTGATTCCTCCATTTCTCATAAAGAAGCTCAGTGCGTTACGGTTTAGTACGGTGCAGTTGCCTTTCTGTTTTTGGTCTGGACCAAGATCAGTGTTTTCATTACATTGTTGGCTGCTGCTGCTGTCTCGTTTCCGCTTTTGCTGGTTTCGATTCACCTTTGTTTCGTTCGCCCTCTCTTCTCCATTATTTGTGGCCACGCGGACAGCCAGTAAAATGGAAGAGGACAGGTGAGCGACAGGTGCGCGCGCATCGACGCGCATGATTACCCACGCGCGATTCGAGGCTTTGCTGGCTTTCGCTGACCGTAACAGCCCTTGTCGATGAACCTATTCCGTTGGTGTTATTTTGATACCATCTTCGCTGATTGAACGTACTTCGTATCACTTTTTTTTATCGGCTTTTGGTAGCGTGCAGGGATTTTTGGAGAATTCTAAAAAAATCCCTGCAACGTCAAGGACTTGGCTTTTGGCTTTTGGTAGCATGTCCTTCCCCTCCCACCACCTCACAACCTCCACCCACCCACCCCCTCCGTTTCCCCTTTTAGTCATTCTTCGCCTATTTTCACGCCCTCCCCTCCCCCCCCCCTCTCCCTTCTTCCCCACACATCTGCTTCCCCGCCCCCTCTCCCCTCTCTCCCCCTCACTCCACTTCCCCTCAGCCCCGAGCGGGCGCGCGGATCGCAGGGCCGCTGGGTCTCCGAGCGGATCGAAACCGTCGGATCGGATCCTCCGCCCGCAACCAACGGCGCCTTTCGCGGCGGTCCGAGCGGCGGCAGAGGCGGAGGCGGAGGAAGGGGAGGCGGCGGCTGGAGGGACCAGGACCGCTGGCGCGGAGGGGAAGGTGGCGGAGGGGGGTACGCGGACGGGGGGAGGTATGGCGGCGGGTTTAGCAACAGCCGCGGGTATAACAGCGCGGAGGGGAGGGCGAGGGGGAGGGGGGGGAGGGGGGGCTGGGGGGACCGGTACCAAGGACAGGGGAGCTTCGAGCAAGGCGTGGAGGGTATGGACGTGGATGGTGGGTTAGATGTTGCTGGTGGTGCTGCTGGTGCTCCTGCTGCTGCTGCTGCTGCTGCTGGTGGTGGTGGTGCTGCTGATGGAGGTCTCAAGGGAGAGTTCAGGCCTGAGTTTGTGAACCCTGACCCGCAGCACATCCCGAGATCAGCCCGTTTCTTCCTGGTACGTTCATGCAGTTACTTTCAGGGTTAGATGCTGGTGGTGCTGGTGGTGGTGCTAGTGGTGGTGGTGGTGGTGGAGGTCCCAAGGGAGAGTTCAGGCCGGAATTTGTGAACCCTGACCTGCAGCACATCCCGAGATCAGCCCGTTTCTTCCTGGTTCGTACATGCCCACTCACCCCCACACTGTGGTGATTTTTTAGTCGGCTCAGAAATCGGCCTCAAGGGAGAGTTCAGGCCGGAGTTTGTGAATTCTGACCCGAAGCACATCCCGAGATCAGCTCGCTTCTTCCTGGTACGCACGTGCTCACTCACTCCCACCACACCACAGAGGTGATTTTCCAGTCGACTATAAAATCGGTCCCAAGGGACTCAGGCCGGAATTTGTGAATCCTGACCCGCAGCACATCCCAAGATCAGCTCGCTTCTTTCTGGTACGTATGTGCATTTGCTGGTGATGGTGGTGGTGCTGCTGCTATGAGATCAGCTCGCTTCTTTCTGGTACGTATGTGCATTTGCTGGTGATGGTGGTGGTGCTGCTGCTATGAGATCAGCCCGCTTCTTTCTGGTACGTATGTGCATTTGCTGGTGATGGTGGGGGTGCTGCTGCTATGAGATCAGCTCGCTTCTTTCTGGTACGTATGTGCATTTGCTGGTGATGGTGGTGGTGCTGCTGCTATGAGATCAGCCCGCTTCTTTCTGGTACGTATGTGCATTTGCTGGTGATGGTGGTGGTGCTGCTGCTATGAGATCAGCCCGCTTCTTTCTGGTACGTATGTGCATTTGCTGGTGATGGTGGTGGTGCTGCTGCTATGAGATCAGCCCGCTTCTTTCTGGTACGTATGTGCATTTGCTGGTGATGGTGGTGGTGCTGCTGCTATGAGATCAGCTCGCTTCTTTCTGGTACGTATGTCCATTTGCTGGTGATGGTGGTGGTGCTGCTGCTATGAGATCAGCTCGCTTCTTTCTGGTACGTATGTGCATTTGCTGGTGATGGTGGTGGTGCTGCTGCTATGAGATCAGCCCGCTTCTTTCTGGTACGTATGTGCATTTGCTGGTGATGGTGGTGGTGCTGCTGCTATGAGATCAGCCCGCTTCTTTCTGGTACGTATGTGCATTTGCTGGTGATGGTGGTGGTGCTGCTGCTATGAGATCAGCTCGCTTCTTTCTGGTACGTATGTGCATTTGCTGGTGATGGTGGTGGTGCTGCTGCTATGAGATCAGCTCGCTTCTTTCTGGTACGTATGTGCATTTGCTGGTGATGGTGGTGGTGCTGCTGCTATGAGATCAGCTCGCTTCTTTCTGGTACGTATGTGCATTTGCTGGTGATGGTGGTGGTGCTGCTGCTATGAGATCAGCTCGCTTCTTTCTGGTACGTATGTGCATTTGCTGGTGATGGTGGTGGTGCTGCTGCTATGAGATCAGCCCGCTTCTTTCTGGTACGTATGTGCATTTGCTGGTGATGGTGGTGGTGCTGCTGCTATGAGATCAGCCCGCTTCTTTCTGGTACGTATGTGCATTTGCTGGTGATGGTGGTGGTGCTGCTGCTATGAGATCAGCCCGCTTCTTTCTGGTACGTATGTGCATTTGCTGGTGATGGTGGTGGTGCTGCTGCTATGAGATCAGCCCGCTTCTTTCTGGTACGTATGTGCATTTGCTGGTGATGGTGGTGGTGCTGCTGCTATGAGATCAGCCCGCTTCTTTCTGGTACGTATGTGCATTTGCTGGTGATGGTGGTGGTGCTGCTGCTATGAGATCAGCCCGCTTCTTTCTGGTACGTATGTGCATTTGCTGGTGATGGTGGTGGTGCTGCTGCTATGAGATCAGCCCGCTTCTTTCTGGTACGTATGTGCATTTGCTGGTGATGGTGGTGGTGCTGCTGCTATGAGATCAGCCCGCTTCTTTCTGGTACGTATGTGCATTTGCTGGTGATGGTGGTGGTGCTGCTGCTATGAGATCAGCTCGCTTTTTTCTGGTACGTATGTGCATTTGCTGGTGATGGTGGTGGTGCTGCTGCTATGAGATCAGCCCGCTTCTTTCTGGTACGTATGTGCATTTGCTGGTGATGGTGGTGGTGCTGCTGCTATGAGATCAGCCCGCTTCTTTCTGGTACGTATGTGCATTTGCTGGTGATGGTGGTGGTGCTGCTGCTATGAGATCAGCCCGCTTCTTTCTGGTACGTATGTGCATTTGCTGGTGATGGTGGTGGTGCTGCTGCTATGAGATCAGCCCGCTTCTTTCTGGTACGTATGTGCATTTGCTGGTGATGGTGGTGGTGCTGCTGCTATGAGATCAGCCCGCTTCTTTCTGGTACGTATGTGCATTTGCTGGTGATGGTGGTGGTGCTGCTGCTATGAGATCAGCCCGCTTCTTTCTGGTACGTATGTGCATTTGCTGGTGATGGTGGTGGTGCTGCTGCTATGAGATCAGCCCGCTTCTTTCTGGTACGTATGTGCATTTGCTGGTGATGGTGGTGGTGCTGCTGCTATGAGATCAGCTCGCTTCTTTCTGGTACGTATGTGCATTTGCTGGTGATGGTGGTGGTGCTGCTGCTATGAGATCAGCTCGCTTCTTTCTGGTACGTATGTGCATTTGCTGGTGATGGTGGTGGTGCTGCTGCTATGAGATCAGCTCGCTTCTTTCTGGTACGTATGTGCATTTGCTGGTGATGGTGGTGGTGCTGCTGCTATGAGATCAGCTCGCTTCTTTCTGGTACGTATGTGCATTTGCTGGTGATGGTGGTGGTGCTGCTGCTATGAGATCAGCTCGCTTCTTTCTGGTACGTATGTGCATTTGCTGGTGATGGTGGTGGTGCTGCTGCTATGAGATCAGCTCGCTTCTTTCTGGTACGTATGTGCATTTGCTGGTGATGGTGGTGGTGCTGCTGCTATGAGATCAGCTCGCTTCTTTCTGGTACGTATGTGCATTTGCTGGTGATGGTGGTGGTGCTGCTGCTATGAGATCAGCTCGCTTCTTTCTGGTACGTATGTGCATTTGCTGGTGATGGTGGTGGTGCTGCTGCTATGAGATCAGCCCGCTTCTTTCTGGTACGTATGTGCATTTGCTGGTGATGGTGGTGGTGCTGCTGCTATGAGATCAGCTCGCTTCTTTCTGGTACGTATGTGCATTTGCTGGTGATGGTGGTGGTGCTGCTGCTATGAGATCAGCCCGCTTCTTTCTGGTACGTATGTGCATTTGCTGGTGATGGTGGTGGTGCTGCTGCTATGAGATCAGCCCGCTTCTTTCTGGTACGTATGTGCATTTGCTGGTGATGGTGGTGGTGCTGCTGCTATGAGATCAGCCCGCTTCTTTCTGGTACGTATGTGCATTTGCTGGTGATGGTGGTGGTGCTGCTGCTATGAGATCAGCTCGCTTTTTTCTGGTACGTATGTGCATTTGCTGGTGATGGTGGTGGTGCTGCTGCTATGAGATCAGCCCGCTTCTTTCTGGTACGTATGTGCATTTGCTGGTGATGGTGGTGGTGCTGCTGCTATGAGATCAGCCCGCTTCTTTCTGGTACGTATGTGCATTTGCTGGTGATGGTGGTGGTGCTGCTGCTATGAGATCAGCCCGCTTCTTTCTGGTACGTATGTGCATTTGCTGGTGATGGTGGTGGTGCTGCTGCTATGAGATCAGCCCGCTTCTTTCTGGTACGTATGTGCATTTGCTGGTGATGGTGGTGGTGCTGCTGCTATGAGATCAGCCCGCTTCTTTCTGGTACGTATGTGCATTTGCTGGTGATGGTGGTGGTGCTGCTGCTATGAGATCAGCCCGCTTCTTTCTGGTACGTATGTGCATTTGCTGGTGATGGTGGTGGTGCTGCTGCTATGAGATCAGCCCGCTTCTTTCTGGTACGTATGTGCATTTGCTGGTGATGGTGGTGGTGCTGCTGCTATGAGATCAGCTCGCTTCTTTCTGGTACGTATGTGCATTTGCTGGTGATGGTGGTGGTGCTGCTGCTATGAGATCAGCTCGCTTCTTTCTGGTACGTATGTGCATTTGCTGGTGATGGTGGTGGTGCTGCTGCTATGAGATCAGCTCGCTTCTTTCTGGTACGTATGTGCATTTGCTGGTGATGGTGGTGGTGCTGCTGCTATGAGATCAGCTCGCTTCTTTCTGGTACGTATGTGCATTTGCTGGTGATGGTGGTGGTGCTGCTGCTATGAGATCAGCTCGCTTCTTTCTGGTACGTATGTGCATTTGCTGGTGATGGTGGTGGTGCTGCTGCTATGAGATCAGCTCGCTTCTTTCTGGTACGTATGTGCATTTGCTGGTGATGGTGGTGGTGCTGCTGCTATGAGATCAGCTCGCTTCTTTCTGGTACGTATGTGCATTTGCTGGTGATGGTGGTGGTGCTGCTGCTATGAGATCAGCTCGCTTCTTTCTGGTACGTATGTGCATTTGCTGGTGATGGTGGTGGTGCTGCTGCTATGAGATCAGCCCGCTTCTTTCTGGTACGTATGTGCATTTGCTGGTGATGGTGGTGGTGCTGCTGCTATGAGATCAGCCCGCTTCTTTCTGGTACCTACAGACTTGAACGAACCCATCCGTTTAAAACTGTTCCCACTGCTTTCCCATGTGGCCTCCCCCATACCTCCCCCACTGCTTCGTTTGAACGAACCCATTCGTCTGAAACTCACATGTCGCCCCCTCTCCTCTTCCCAGTGCTTTCCCGTGTGGCCCCTCCGCTCCCTCCCTTTCCCCCCCGCTCACTCCCCTCCGCCCCGTTCCCTTACCCCTCCACGCTTCCCCATTTTGCAGCATGATGATTGTTTGAACGAAATTCATGTCACCTTCCCCGCTCGCACTGCTTCCCCATGTGGCCTTCCCTCCACTCCCCCCCACCTCTTCTCTTCCCCCCTCTCCCCCTCTTTGCAGCATGACGATCGTTTGAACGAACCCATTCGACTTGAACTCACTCCCTTGTCCCCGCTCCCACTGCTTCCCCGTGTCCCCTCCCCCCTCCCTCTTCCCCACATGCTCCCCATCTTTGCAGCATGACGACCGGTTGAATGAACCCATTCATCCAAAACTCACACGCATGTCGCCCTCTCCTCCCTTCCCACTGCTTCCCCGTACGCCCCCTCCCCCTCTGCGCTCCCCCTCTTTGCAGCATGACGATCGTATGAACGAACCCATTCGCCGCCCTCGCCTCTCATCAGGCCCGCCCGCAGGTAAGCCTTCCCCGCAGGTAAGCTTTCCCCGCGTAAACCCTGGCCGCAGGTAGACCCTCCCCGCAGGTAAGCTTTCCCCGCATAAACCCTCGCCGCAGGTAAACCCTCCCCGCAGGTAAACCCTCCCCGCAGGTAAAACCCCCCCGCAGGTAAGCCCTCCTCTCCCCATGGTAAGCCCTGTTCTCTTGAATGCTCTCTTTTGTATCCAGCCTCCCCTCTCCCTCCTCCCCTCTCCCTCCTCCCCTCTCCCTCCTCCCCTCTCCCTCCTTCCCTCTCCTTCCTCCCCTCTCCCTCCTCCCCTCTCCTTCCTCCCCTCTCCCTCCTCCCCTCTCCAGCGTCCCCTCTCCCTCCTCCCTCCCTCTCCCCCCCCCCCCTTCTCCTCCCCCAGACTACTCCACCCTCAACAGCAGCACATGGGATTCTAAGCCCGGTGACTCCTCCTTTGACTTGGAGGATGATGGCAAGGGTGTGATCAGCCTATCTCTTACACTTGCACCCCTGTTAATCTTGAGCCCTTGCAATTCTTGCGTCTCTGCTAACCCCTTCCATTTCCCCCAGACTATTCCAACCTTGCTGCTCAGCAGCAACACATGGGGTTCTGAGCCCGACGATTCCTCCTTTGGCTTTGAAGATGATGGCAAGGGGGCCTTCAGCCTGTCTCTTACACTTGCACCCCTGTTAATCTTGCGTCCCTGCTAATCCCCCCCTTCCTCCTCCCCCCCCAGACTATTCCAACCTTAACAGCAGCACATGGGGTCCCAAGCCCGGTGATTCCTCCTTTGACTTTGAAGATGATGGCAAGGGGAGAAGGGAGGAGGGGCGGGGTAGAGAGAGGAAGAGGGAGAGGGAGGAGGAGAGAGCGGGAGAGAGGGAGGGCGAGAGGGGGAGGAATGGGAGCAGGGGTAAGGAAAGGGGGAGGGAGCGAGGCGGTGAGGAAAAGGAGAGGGAGAGGGAGGGTAAACGTGGGAGGTATGAGGATGAGAGGGAGAAGGGATGGGAGAGAGGAGCGGAGAAGAGTGAGAGAGGAGGGAAGGGCGAGGAACGATGGGGCCATGATAAATTCGAAGAGGGGAGGAAGGAGGTGGAAGAAGGAGGAGAGGGAAGGGAAGCAGTTTCAAAAAGAAGGAGCTTTGTTGTTGTGGCCAAGGGTGAAAAGGACGATGCTGCTGCTGATGATCCTGCTGGTGCTGATGGTACGGGTGTGGGCAGTGATCGCTACGTGGGTGATAGGCCTATTTCGGCTGGCTGGGATCGGGAAAAGAAGGAGAGGGAGGGGGGGAGGGAGAGGGAGAAAGACAAAGACAAGGAGAGGGAGCAGAGGAGGAGCGATAGAGTGGACAGAGGCAAGGAGCGTGGGGAGCGAGCGCGTGACTGGGTCGAGGAAACCGCAAAGTATCGTGGACACTACTACTACGGCCGCGACCAGGCCTACCCAGCAGGCTCGGCAGACACTCGTCGCGACCGTACCTACCCAGGCTCGACAGACTCCCGGCGAGACGGTAACCGCACTAATGTGGAGTCGGGGGGGAGAAGAGGTAATGCAGCTTTGGATGATGGGTGGCGGGACGAGGAGCAGCCGGTGAGGGTGAGGAGTTTTAAGAGGGAAGACGGGGGAGGGGAGGACAGGTGGCAGCATGACAAGTTTGGTGACGTGGCAAAGAGCCCCACACCGCCCCCTGCTGCTGCTGGTGTTGCCAGTGGCAGTGTTGGTGGTGGTGGTGACGCTGCTGGTGGGCCTGATATCAGTCGGATTGAAGCTCTTCTTGCAAGCTGAAGTGCTGATGACAAGTTTGGTGACGTGGCAAAGAGCCCCACACCGCCCCCAACTGCTGTTGCTGCTGGTGCTGCTGGTCTGATGGTGGTGGGCCTGATATCAGCCGGATTGAGGCACTGCTTGCTAGCTGATGAGGTGTAGAGGTGATGAAAGGTTAGGTAACGAGGCAAAGAGGCCCACGCCACTCCCTGCTGCTGCTGCTGTGGTTGGTGGTGTTGCTGATGCTGCTGGTGGGCCTGATATTATCCGGATCGAGGCACTGCTTGATTGCAAATATAAACTGGTCATGATTTGTCATGCTCGTGGGTTGGTTGAAAGCTTGTTGCTAATGCTGCTTGCTGCGAACAATTGCTTCTTGCTACTTTTGCTGGGCACTAACATTGCTGTGCAAGATCGCCTGACTGAAGTGTTTATCAAAACAGCTGCTTCGACTGTAGCTGTGACTTTCATTCTATATCACACATTGGCAGCTACTGGTGTACAAAATGAAACAGTTAGCAATGGAGGTGCTACACCTCACAACAAACTGTGATTCCTTATGAAGGGACTATTAAGGAAACAAATCTACAGCTGTTTCCGTTCCCCCCATGTACCGAACCGTCCAGCACTATATGTGGCATAATTATACTGGTGTAGCTTGAGCAGTCTTGGCAATCTTGATAAACACGTCTTCAAGAGTGGTGTTGATAATCCCCATGCCCTTATCGACATTTGGTTGCGCACCTAAGCAATCGCAATAGGATATATTCATACTGGTGTAGCTTGAGCAGTCTTGGCAATCTTGATAAACACGTCCTCAAGAGTGGTGTTGGTGAATCCCCACGCTCTGATCGACACATTGGCCGCGCATCGAAACAATCGTCGCAAACACATAGGATAGGATACGTATATTTATACTGGTGTAGCTTGGGCAGTCTTGGCTATCTTGATAAACACGTCTTCAAGAGTGGTGTTGGTGAATCCCCACGCCCGGATCGACATTTGGTCGCGCACCGAAGCAACCGCCGCAAACACATCTGCAACCTCCACCTCAGCCATGGGCATCTCAAACTTTTGCGTGCCCGCCAAGCTGTAGATCCGCTTCGCGTTCGGGCAGATGGAATTTACGACCCGCCCGATGTTCTCCTCTTCCTCCAGAGGCGTGGTAATGGTCAGCACGTATGTCCCGCCGTAACGCGTGGTGAGCTGGCGCGCGTTACCAATGCATTCAAACTGCCCGCTCACGAAAATGCCCAGTCTGTCGCAGAGAGCTTCGGCCTCTTCCATAGAGTGAGCTGGTGGGGTTGTGGGGAGGGAGGGAGAAGAGGAAGGAGATGAAGGTTGAGAAAGGAATTCCATAACCGATGCACTCAAACTGCCCGCTCACGAAAATGCCCAGTCTGTCGCAGAGAGCTTCAGCCTCTTCCATGGAGTGGGCTGGTGGAGGGAGAGGGGAAGGGGGGCAGACAGGAAGCCGAAAGAGGGTGAGATTGATTGTGCGGAAAGGGATGACAGAAGGATGAGAAGGTCTGAGAAAAAGGCTGACAAAAGCTGAGAACAGGCTTGCGAGAAAAGGGTGGGTGCGCCGGCACTCACTTGTCAGCACGATTGCTCGGTCCTTCTTAGCAGCCTTGACCACGTCCCACAGAAGCTTCCGGGAAGCGGGGTCCAGCCCAGTGCTGGGCTCATCCATATACACAACAAGGGGGTTGCCTATAAGGGAGATGGCGACACTCAGGCGCCTCTTCATGCCGCCGCTGTACTGGCCCGACACCTTGTCTCCCACGCCCCCTGCCAGCAGGTTCACGCTCTTGAGGGACTTGTCCACTGCATCTTTCAGCTCCTGCCCCCGCAGGTTCTTGAGGCGCCCGTAGAAGAGCAGATGCTCCCTGCCTGTCAGCTGCTCCCAGAGCAGGCTGGAGAATGGAGAGGAGAGAGGAGAGAGGGGGGGAACGGGGAAGGATGGGTGGATGGAGTGGGGAAGAGGTGCCCGAGGGTTAGAAACGGACGAGGTTAGATTTGTCTCATGCGTCGATGCTCAACAATCAAACACTCCACCCCCCCCAAACCTCTCTCAAACCCCTCAAAACCACAATCAACCCTGTCCAAACCTCACTGAATCCCTCCAAACCACGCTCAACCGCACCCAAACTCACTCGTGCTGCGGGCACACGCCCATGATGGAGTAAATCGCGTCCATGTCGTCCACAATCCCCATGCCCTCAATGATCGCAGCGCCTTCACTCGGCTGCAGGAACCCCATCATCATGCTCAGCGTCGTCGTCTTGCCCGCCCCGTTCGGCCCCAGCATGCCGAAGCACTCCCCTCTTGCCACTGCGACTGAGAGGTCCCGCACGGCCACTTTCTCCTTGTTGCCGTCGCGGCCCGGATAGACCTTCCTGAGACGGTCGCAGATGATTGAGTAGTGCGGCGAGGAGGGCGGCTCCGAGTCGGAATGCAACAGGGAGTCTACCAGGGCTCGCTGTTGGAAGGGGGAGGAAGGGAATGGGCCGGGACAGGGGGAGGGACAGAAGGAGGGGACATGAGATTCTGCTGTGGAAGTGCTTGCTCTCTCTCTCCCCGAAGCACTCCCCTCTAGCCACTGCGACTGAGAGGTCCCGCACGGCCACTTTCTCCTTGTTGCCGTCGCGGCCCGGATAGACCTTCCTGAGACGGTCGCAGATGATCGAGTAGTGCGGGGAGGAGGGCGGCTCCGAGTCGGAATGGAGAAGAGAGTCTACCAGGGCTCGCTGTGGGAAGGGGAGAAAGAGGAAGGGGAGCAGGGAGTGGGAGATATGGTCGAGGAAATGAGAGAGGGGGTAGAACTTCCTGAGACGGTCACAGATGATGGAGTAGTGCGGGGAGGAGGGCGGCTCCGAGTCGGAGAGGAGAAGAGAGTCTACCAGGGCTCGCTGTGGGAAGAACCGCAAACCAGGGGGGAGGGAAGAGGAGAGGCAAAGCATGAGCCAGAGTGCAGAAGGGCATTCACCAGCGTTAGCTGTGGGAAGGGGATAAGGACAAGGCTGGTGACGGGGTGGGGGGGGGGGGGGGGGGGGGCGGGCGGGGGGTGGGTGGAGAGAAGCGGAAGAGAGTGGGGCGAAGACAATGGAGTGAGTTTTGAGACGTCTCAAAAGAAGCGGAAGAGAGTGGGGCGAAGACAACGGAGTGAGGGAGCACACGAGGGTCTGCTGTGGACTACTCCCCTCAAGCCATTGTCACGTGGCATCCCATCCCATCCCATCACATCACATCACATGTGTACATGCATCCACCCACGCATGAACAATTTTTTAGTCGACTAAAAAATCCACCTCACATGCATGCATGCATGCACCCTCGCATGAACGAACCTCCGCAGGCAAAACTCAAACAGAAAGTGGAGCCTACCTCTTCCATAACATCAGGCTTATCCTCGTCGCCCGCTCCCTCCTCCTCCCCTCCTTAAGTCATCTCCAAAGTCCCCCAGCAAAAAAGAAAGAAACAAAGGAGCCTACCTCTTCCATGACATCAGGCTTCTCCTCGTCGCCCGCTCCCTCCTCCTCCCCTCCTTAAGTCATCTCCAAAGTCCCCCAGCAAAAAAGAAAGAAACAAAGGAGCCTACCTCTTCCATAACATCAGGCTTATCCTCGTCGCCCGCTCCCTCCTCCATCACACTGCTCTTCCTCGCGTCCTTCTTCTTGCCCTTCTTAAACAGCTTCTGCAGCCCCAGCAGGGGATGCTTTCGCCTCAAACAGAAAGTGGAACGTACCTCTTCCATAACATCAGGCTTATCCTCGTCGCCCGCTCCCTCCTCCATCACACTGCTCTTCCTCGCGTCCTTCTTCTTGCCCTTCTTGAACAGCTTCTGCA